TTTTAACTCTCAAATTAACGATGTTATGATATCTGTTAATTTTAAGACTAATATTGATAGTTTTACAAGATTTAAGTCTCAAATTGAGAAAATAAATCTTTTAGGCTCCAATTTGATAGTTAATATATTTTTCGATTCTTGTATCGAAAAAATTCCTTTATAATATTTGTAGAGACGGGACTACTTTTAAAGATTATGAAAGCCACGTGAATATGGGAGAATTAGATGTTGCATTTCACCTTGATTTGCACACACATTTATATGAGGGCAGTGCCCCCACATACATCATCGAATTTTTCGTAAATATGATAGTTAGCCAATGCGACATGTCTATGCACGTAATATTCCGGCAAAAACTGTTCTCATTATGATCAATTTATGATCATATTATGCATTTTAATGAAACTACTTTTAATATACTTATATAGTTGTGTGGGTCGATATGTTCCCGTTACGCGCGGTACCATCTCGTCAGAGTTATAATCGTTAGATCATTATATAACCGTCAAAGATAGTTGATCTAATAGTTACAAATCGCAACGGAATGATTCCGTAACGGGAACGTAGCATCTTCATGTGGGCGGGTACTACTTTTTAATTCTTTCCCCTTCTTATTTTTGCTGTGTCTAATTTTTCAGACATTAACAGTAATGTATTAGAGAAAAAATAAAATAAAAAAATAAATGAAAATTAGAGTCCATGAAATCCAAGACCACACACATGAAACTACCGTAACCCTACATAATCTCCCATCACACCCAAACAATTAGGCATCCCCTCACACGTGTCCAGCGCCCGCTTCACACTCTCCACAAAATCTCCCGCCCTTTGACACCCCCTACAAATCCTCTCCCCACAAAAAAACAAACACATGCCCATACCTCTCCCCTTTGGAATGATAATCGCACCCAAACCGGAATCAATCAGCCCCCCGTGACCGACATGGCTCACTCCGACCCAAACATCCCGTCCTCCTCAGCCGACTCGGACGACTTCGCCCCACGCAACAGCAGCTTCTCCGCCTACGACCCGAGCCGCCTCTCGGGGGAAGGCTCCCCCATGATGATGTCCCCTTGGAACCAATCTCCCTTCGCCAAGTCCCCTTGGTCCGACGCTGCTGCCTCTTCCGACCCACCTGCGGCCGTCCCCCAGACGGGTCTCGTCGGGTCCCTCGTCCGCGAAGAGGGCCACATCTACTCCCTGGCGGCCAGGGACAACGTCCTCTACACGGGCTCCGACAGCAAAAACATCCGCGTGTGGAAGGACCTCCACGAGTTCTCGGCCTTCAAGTCCAACAGCGGCCTCGTTAAGGCCATCATCATCTCGGGGGACCGCATCTTCACCGGCCACCAGGACGGGAAGATCCGTCTGTGGCGCGTCGGCCCCAAGGACCCGAGCGTCCACAAGCGCGTCGGCACCATGCCCACCTTCTTCGACATCTTCAAGGCCTCCGTGCGGCCCCGGCTCAACTACAAGGGCAAGCGCTCGTTCCCGATCAAGCACACGGACGCAGTGTCGTGCCTGAGCATAGACGAGGAGGAGGGACTCCTGTACTCGGCCTCGTGGGACCGCACGTTCAAGGTGTGGCGGGTGGGGAGCTCCAAGTGCGTGGAGTCGGTGAGGGCCCACGAGGACGCGGTGAACTCGGTGGTGTCGGCTGGGGGAGGGGTGGTGTACACGGGGTCGGCCGACGGGAAGGTGAAGGTGTG